AAGTTCGATGGCAAATCCTCCCTCTTCAAGTTGGCGATCCAACGACCAACCCGTCCGTGGAGGATCAGGAATCAGAAAGGTGGAATAACTCTTTTATTTTCTGATTAACGCTAAATTCATTAAATCACTGCGAACGTATTAGTTTTAGGTATAAATAATGATCCATTGGTTATTCCTTGCTGAATGAAAACAGCAGCAGAAGCATTAACCAAAAGATTCCCTGAAGAATAAAGGTCAATGATGAAAATCAGAGCCAGGATATTAGCAGAAAGAGCCCAAATCCACCCCAAAACACAGTAGTGGAGGGGTCATGCTGAGGGCGTCAAAGGTGAGGCCTCCAATCTAAGTTTACGCACCGAAAAACAACATCTCCAAACTGCTGCAGATCTACAGCATCAACAGAACAGACGGACTTATTTTAACCACGGCTGCTATTTTAGTAAGTTAACAGGAAAGACAAAGCGATGACACCTGAAAATAAAGACCTCCTCCTCTTTGCCAGGAGGCGCAGAAAATGAGCCGTTTAATATCTCTCCACCCGCTGAGAGCAAAACAGGATGAGGTTAGAGAACTGCTGCATCTGTCACACAGCCGCTATCAGCCTGCATGCTGCGCAGAAACACAGGAGGAGAAGGCAGCTGTAGGGAGGGTCGCCGTGGTGACGCATGCCTCAAACATGCCAGGCTGAAACAAAGCTAGCCATCCTCTATCACGCTGTGGAAACCAGTACAGCACTGATGCACTGATGTTTAAAAACTATGCTAAAAAAAAATTAAACCTCCAGAGTTTTAATTTAGAAAAAAGATTTTCAGAGTAAATTTGCTGTTTTCTCCAATTTTTTTTATTTATTTATTTATTTATTTTTTTTTTTTACAAATTTCTGTTAAGAATCATAGATGTTTTCATAATTTGTTCCCCTCTCTTTTATCTTCTTTTTTGCCTTCCTTGTATTTGTTCTCATTACTTCTTTCTGTGTCTTTCTTTCTTTTTTATATTTTTCTTCCCATCAACCTTCCCCTCTTTCCTTCCTTTCATCTTCCTATCTTAAGCCGGGCTTACAATTTATGATTTTTTCCCCTTTTCAGACTGATTTTCCAGTCGTGCGAAAATGTTTCGATCGGGCAAACTTTCAGATCACCTGAAAGTGCGAATGCGCAGAAAAAGTCAGCTAAGGGACGAGCGCGTAGGACGGCCTTACGTAAACATATCACCAGAATGATTGACAGTTAGGAGGACCACTTATTTAGATGATCCACCCGGAAATAAAAGATTGTCCTCTATACCTTTAAGTTAGACGAGGAACTAAAGAACCATTGTGGCTCCAGAGATCCCAGATGTAGCAGATAAAACTGATCCCGTCTCCACACCACTGAAGCCAAAAGTGCTGAACCTTCATTTTTAAATCCTCCTAGAAAAAAAGAGTGTAAAGGTAAATAATGAAGTAGATCTGAGTTAGTAGATCTACTAACTAGCAGGTTTATTCAACTACTAGTTTAAATTGGTCCCACTCCAGAATCACCTTCCCTTCTTCCTTTACTTCTCCCTGCGTGTCCTTCCGTGCTTCCTTGACTTCATCCTAGACTTTTCTAGACTCTTAAATAGTCTACAGTCAAAATCTAAAGTATAATTTTACATAAAATGATGTGTAGGAGTAGAACTCTGGTTTGATTATTTTCTTTATCTGATTGCTTTATAGTCAAGTTTTAATTTTCATGTTCTTTCTCAGTGAAGCACTCTGTGTTTTTATCGTGTAGGAGGAGCTTTATAAATAGCTTTGTACCCAAAGTGACGAAGCCTATAGCAGCGTTTTTCAGGCGTCAGTCGAACGGATCGCTTCATTTGATAGAGAAAAGAAAGGCAGAAGGGAACGGGACAGAAAAATGGAACAAATCTTAACAAGGTTCATTAGCAGAGCTCCTTCTGCATCTTCATACCACCAGGCAAACTGGGTCACCACAACACTGACATGTCAGAGAAGAGGTGCCGACACGTAGCGAAGGCAGAACATGGGCATGTGTCTGAGGCAGAGAATAATCAGTGCCTGGCATGATGTGAGGATAATTACCTCCGCTGTCTCTGCTGATCTTTTTCTGCATGAGGCGGAAACTCAGGGAGACACTGAGAAGAGTCTGAGTTGTAGAAAATGATTGGAATCTGTGACTCATTTGCTGTTTTTCAGCAGCCTTCCTACAGAGCAGCCCACACACACTCAGAAGGGCCGCATTTGATGCGCTAACAGTGCAAAGCCTTGCAAGGTTTCTTTAGACGTCTGCTGCACACAGAACTGCGACACGTCTTCACTTTCTTTGCATCGGCGGTCGACGCTCTGACGGCCTCCTTAAGAGGGCTGAGTCACAGCCGGAACCGCAGCGGCGATGTGCAACAAGCCCACGCAGCCGCGTGCCAAGACACGGGGGGGCTTCAATGTTAGCGTGCAGGAAGCTAACGGCAGACCGCTGCGTCCTGCTGGAATTCCCTTTAATATGGGGAGAAATTTGGTACATTTTTCTTAAAAGCAAAAAATGTAAAATGAAAAAAAAAAAACGTTTTCACAGTTTAATATTTCTTTAGATTTTTTTTATTTTTACTTTTTTGGGGAAAAAAGATAAGAAAAAGAAAAGATTTAAACTCAAGAAGTTCACACTGCAAAAAAAAAAACATTTAGAAATAAGTAAAATGTTCTTAAATTAAGTGTATTTACCCTTAATTTAAGTAGGTAAATGAGATGATCTGCCGATAGAATGAGAATTGTTTGTCTTTAAATAAGACAATTAGATAATTTGCACTTAAAATAAGACAATACCATTATTTTTTCTTATTTTAATCTAAATGATCTTGTTCCAATGGCAAAGGGTCTCACTTACCTCCTCAATTCAAGAAAAAAAATGAAATGTATAAAACAGGATTTGAAAAGAATCCAATTTTAAAAATAAAAAGAAGAAAAGGAGGAAAGGTTTTTGCGTGTACGTTCATGACAAAACCAAAGCTATGTAAAAATGTTTCCCTCCTAGTTCAGCCGTTAGTAGTGCTCTGTGCTAAAGGCCTCATAAATAAGCATCTATGATTATTTAGAATCTGCTAATTTTAAACACTGAATTTTTATCGGGTGAAAATTCAGCTGCAAAAAAATTCCCCCGCAAAAAATTCAACTGCAAAATATGCAGCTGCTAGAAAAAACTCATTCAGCTTCATTTAGCTGAGAATAAAGCAATGTCCAACTGTTGTGTCATGTGACCAAATGAGCTAATTTCATTGGCTAAAAGCTGCTCGACTGCATCGAGTGTCGATTGAATTGGCTTCATGTCACCAAAATGTCAACACATTGGCCTTTGAATTTTTTGCAGCTGAATTTTTATCAAATGAAAATTCAGTGTAGGGAATTCAATGTGTAAAAAAAAAATCAGTGTTTAAAATTCAGTTCACAAAAAAAGGCAGATTTTAATGACAATGTTTTTCTTCCATATATGATTACTGCACTGCCATCAGAAGAAAAATAAAATTCACCAAACTAAACAAAGATTTTACTTCATTTGCACTTTACCCCCAGGGAAGACATTTCAAACGTAAACATAAAATCAGATCAATCTGAATAATCGGAGATCATTCTACAGCTTTCCCAGAGGAAAAGGAGGACGATCAGTTATCGGCACCACGATGTCAAACAAACGTTTCCATAAAAAGCAACAATTCCAGCTTATAAAACTTTAATTGGCCTACTGCACTTCATTACTTATGTATAGTCCGTCCGTGTGAACCCAGAGCGCAGCTGAAAAAAGCCTCAGACAAACTCAACTGATTTAGAGCCGATGTTTTCAGAGCAGAGTCTGAACCACAGTCTGGTTTTCTTCACTAATGACCTGCAATTATTTCACAGCAGTTCAACAGGATTAAAATAACAGAATTAAAATCATGTCTAAGTCAGAGGGAGTGGGTAGCATTCATACAGACTGGGATAATTAAAGCCTGCACTGTGCGGTGGCATTAACCACACACACAGCAACATGTTGGAGAACTCCCCTTTTTCATGGGAGGAGGTTGGACAGTCAAAACATACCTTTAAAGTTATTTAATTTTCCTTTTTCCTCTACTTTCCTTATTGCTTACAGCTGTTGAAGAGAAACAGTCACTAACGAAGACCTCATGTGACGAGGAAGTCGGGAAAATGAAGGCAAACAGCGATAAAGCAGACCTGACTGAAGCAAAGTGACCTCTGACCTCTCACTGGCTCTCAGGTTTACCTTTTCCTCTCTATAAAACATGTGTCCCCAGTCCATGCTAATGTGCTACAGGTAGGCAGCAGCAGGCTAGCCCCCTGGCTAATCATCTCTGACCTACATCCTTCAAAAGAAGAGGAAACTGTCCAGAAGGCACGGCGTTACCATCTGCTGCTGCCTGCCGCAGCGTTTAGAGTATAAACACTAAACAAACAGGCCTGGATTTGTGGATCTGTTGTGTGTCAGATCAACGTGGCGTGAAGAGTCGTACCTCTGGTTTGTGCGGTTATCAGGATCTTTATTTCCTCCACATTGCTTCGCACGCTGGCGTAAAAAATCCCCAGGCCCTGTAGGATACAGAAAAGCTCAATTATTCATTGCTTCATTTAATAAAACATGAAAACTTATCGGCGTGTGCCAGCAGCAGTCACTCAGGCTTCTTTGTGAAAATGGAACATGCTATTTTTATTTTATCTTGTTCCCCAGAATGCTTTGGGAGAGCACCACGGGACCACGGGCCTGTCAGAACTCCTGTTTGAACCTTGCACTGCTGTGATGGAGGATTATGCTGAGTATCCAGGTTACCCACTGACAGATGCTGATACAGAGAGATTAGAGCATCCGGGATGAATAATTCCTACATTGCAGGATGTCAGCACTAAGGGGATTGCTGCGTTTATCAAAAACCATACACATGATGCACAAATTCAATAAAAAAACTGAACAAATCTGCTCGTTTTAACCTATCACCTGCAGGTGGCGATCATAAACCAATGCACTGTCTGCATCCACAGTCTGGTTTAAGGAGCATAATGCAAGTATAAAACACAGGCGGAGGCGGTAGTAAAAGCATATATAACCCATGTATAGAGGCCCTAAGGGCGGGTTCTCCTCCCGCAGCCGTGTGTCGCAGTTAGCTTGTCGCAGGAATGTTGCAGATATTTTTGATTTATGCCCAATATTGAAGCATGCTCTGCGTTGTTATTCAACGCCACAACGCAAGAGGGACAATCAGGAACTAGCAAGGATTATGGGTGTCCGTGTGTCGGTTTGACGAGCTTGTTCGTCTTCTGCAACCCCTCATCTGACGCCAGCCAGGAACACCCATTAGTGTTCCTGAAAGACTGGCCGTGGCGTTGCGTGTTTTGGCTTCGGTCACAAACCAACAGACCGTCGCACCGAGCTACGAGCTAGCGTCCTGCACGGCGTCTGGGATAGTGTCCGAAGTATGCCAGGTGTTGTAGACGGCACTGCAGCCAGAGTTTGTGCCATCAGCTACCAAACAGGAAATGTGCATGGTGTAGAGCGCATGTAGATTGGACCAATCAGAGGCCTCCTGTCTGCGGTCACCTACAATTTTGGAGAGGTGCAGCAGAGTGTCTGCAGAAGGGGTGGGACATATGTGCGTTACCTGTGACACACATGCAGACGACCTGGTTTCTGAATATAAACCAGGCTTTAGGCTACGCTAGGCTGTAGCAAACAGGAAGTAGAGGTAGCAAACTACTGGTCAGCAATGGAGCGAGGTTTGAATGAACTAACTGTATCATGTCGGCTAATAGTAGAGATGGTTCATGGCATCCAGAGATGTAGAGAGAGAGAAATCTGATTCTATTGGTAGGATTTAAGACGCCAGCGGCGGCAGAAACAGCTGATCAATCATTGGAGATAAATGAAATAAAAACGTGTTTCCATCTCCTCTAACATCATCAATGACCCCTCACCCCCCCCCCCACCATGGACTGGTCTCCCTGATGCACTCTGGGAAGAGACTTCGAAGCATTCAATGCAGGTTCAGCAGATTATGCAACAGCTTCTTCCCCGCCGCCATCAGATAGCCTAATATTGAATAAAGCTGGAGGGGTTTTATTCAATATTTATTCAGTTTGTCTATGTCTAATTCTAAGTCATAAATCAGGAGATAAATCACTTCATGAGGTCAAAGTAACTCTGCAGACTTTGCCAACATTGCGTAAAACAAAGAGTCTTTCTCTGGTTGTTCTATTGGTCTGCAAAGTCTGAGATGTAGCTACTGTCCTTCTCTTTTCTTCAGTTTCTTTCACAATTCTTTAGTCTGACTGGACGTAACCCGAGTTTGATGGAACATTATCTACTGAGAAGATGGAACATTTTTTTCACAACATGAGTCAACATGAAACTGAAACTACAGTAAAAAGAAATGAAACGTGCTTCCAGAGTTCTGATGCATTTAAAGACTAAAGAGTTTTAAAAGCACAAAAGTTAAATGTATAATCAGATTTCCAGCATTATTTATATATTTCTTTAAAATGCTGAATTGGAATGATAACAATTTCTAAAAACAGGAGAATGAGGTTGACTTATTCCCCCCCTTGTTGCTTTCATGAACTCTTGCAGAAGAATCAGAGCTTTGTGGGTCTCTGATCTGAGGGAAGAAAAGTCGCAAACAACAAATGAGCAGAAATCAACCATAACAAGGATATTTAGGATGTTGCCCACATGGCAACTTTTGTTCACAAGATAAATAAACTGTTCAGCGAGTGGGCACACTGGGACATTGTACAGCGGGGGGGTTAACAGCGCAGCCTGCCTCCATGCTGACCTTTATTTACAAAAGATGCGCTGTCACCGCTGCCAAATGTGGTCAAAGTCATTAGCCACTGATTGGACTTTAAAGCTCAGCCTCGCTAATCTAATTTAATCTGCCTTTATTGATGCCCGATTAATGGAGCGCAGATTAGGAGCAGACTCTGCTGGAAAGACAGCAAACACCTGCACGAAAAGTCTGATGGGGTCTCTGGCATGTGGTCTCTATGTGATTGGCTGGATGATGCACAACAATCAAAAGCGGCAAAGTAAAACCCGGGAAGTGAGGAGGATGAGGAGGACGCCCTTTGGGTGGAAAGGTTTCCTCTGCAGTCTGTGACATCAGATGTAAATGGTTAACAGTAGTGCTGCACCGATGCCATTTTTTTTACCCCGATACCCGATACCTGGCTGTGCAGTATTGTCTGATACCGATACCATACTGTTACCATCTGTTTGAAATTGATGTGTGTGTGTATATTTGAAGAACTGCATACTACTACCGTAATTTCCGGACTATAAGCCCCACCGGACTATAAGCCGCAGGTTTTTTATGTTTAATTACCATATGGTTCATGCACAGAGAGGATTGTCGGGAAAGAGGCAACTTTTTGGGGAAGCTCCTAATTATTAACATTTCAACCCAATTTGCATATTTGCATACGTTAACTGTTACAATTTAGTGCAATAGAAGCTCCCATTTATTAACCGGTACGTTTGTTTTCCATAATGAGGGTGTCACACAAACTGTCTTGCACTCGCAATGTCCGTCTTTCTCGCTGTCTTTCTGTCTCGAACCACTCGCAGTAGAAGTCTGCTTCCGCATTCCTGCGCGCGCGCCTAACGTACTTTTGTGTTGAAGCAAATGTGGCGTCAACATGGTGGATGGTAAAATCCATAGATTTAGGTATTACCCTAGTGGCCGTTAGCTGTAAAAGTCTGTAGATAAGCCGCATTGTTATAAAAGCCACAAGGTCGAAAAATTGGGAAAAAGTTGCGGCTTATAGTCCAAAAATTACAGTACTTGGATGTAAAGTGAATCCAGTAGAACTTTTTATTGCCTACCTGGAATGGGTGACAATAGTTGAATAAACTTTTGGCTCTCAATATGGTATTATTGCCCTATTTGCTGGTACTCGGGGCCCTGCCTGATACTGGTATTGTTGCAACACCAGTTAGTAGAGCAACCAACCATTTAGAAAGTCTGGTTAAGACACCTGCTTCTCAGCCGCCTATGCTCCAAGATCTATAAATAAAATCCAATGCAAACTGTTGCTTTCAGATGCCAGCCTATTGGAAATTATAATCTGTGTTTGATTCAATCTGCAGCTAAATACATCAGTTCTGTTCAGGCCTGAGGGGTTCCTTAGCAGAGATTGAACCGATACTGAGGGCTTTTAAGGCCAAAAACAGAATAACCTTTATTCTGTTTTTGAGACAATTCTGGAAACCAATATTGTTTTTTCTTCCTCCACTTAGATGTTAAAAATGATACAGAAAATGTTTTAATAAAATAAAAAAAGAATCAAAAACATTTATCAACAAATCAAACATTAACAATGGAGGCTTTACGTAACCTAAAGCCCTGGCTGTTGAGCCCACTAATGCAACAACAGATGTACAAAGACACCGGCAAATGCAAATATCAGTTAAAAGTGATAAATCTGTAGTTCTTAGAGAACAACCAGCATCATGAAGAACCCAGCATACAGGTCAGGGAGGAAGGATGCTGCCTGGCATGGAAAACATTGGCCTAAATGCAAACTAGCTCTTTGTGGTAGAAAACCACAGGTAGCCTTTACAATCCACCCCTCAGTGAGACAGTCAAGCTGTGGGACAGGGATAAAATGAGGATTATTAGGTTTTATATAACTTCTACTTTGTCCTGGTCTTTCACTTTAAATCCCATTAAAATGTTTAGCTTTAATCCTTTTAAGAATATTTTCCTTTTTAGGGCATTTGTTATATGATGTGTAACCATAGCAACCAATTATGAGCTATCTGAGCTATCTCTATAGTTCTGCTGCTATAGGTTTAGACTGCTGGAGGACATAGGGACCATTTTTTCATCATTCTGCTTCATTCTATCTCTATTCTCCCACTCTGCAGAATCTGTTAGTTCAATCTCTAACGTTCTGCTCTCTCTGCTTTTTCTCATAGTAGCTTCATCTGGTCTGTTCCTGTTTGGCTGTGACTCCATCCTGGAGAGAAATATCAGCTGTGCTGCTGCCATCAACACCTTTGTTTATAGATGTTGGAGCTCGGCCTGTTTTTCAGTGTAGTCCTGTTTCTCTGACTGTGACTAACTGTCTCCTTGAACCCCAGTCGGCCTCAGCAGATGGCCACTCACACTGAGCCTGGTTCTGCTGGAGGTTTCTTCCTATTTAAAGGGAGTTTACAAGCATGCTTAGTGTGAGGGACTGCCTTCAAGTCAATCAGTCGATGCAATCAACTGGTTTTCCTTTACACTGGGGAGCAGCTCACTGACATCTCAAAAGCTGGAACTACTTCTGCAGGTTGCAGCTGAGCTGAAAAGGATGAGCTGAGGATGTAGAGCAGGAACAAGCAGAAGAGAGAGGAGTGTTCTGTGCTCTGAGAAGGTTTCAAGTACCCTGTTTGATCCCCACAGCCTCCACTCTGGGTCCCTGAGCAAAACCCTTAAACCCTGATTGCTCCCTGGGTGCCACACAATGGCAGCCCACTGCTTCCCAAGAGAATGGGTTAAAATGCAGAAAAAGAATGTCCATGTTGTGGGACAAAAAAAGGGATTTACATTCACATT